GCCATCGACTGGTGCGCTCGGGCCTCGCCCGGGCCCCCGCCCGCCCGACCCGCGCGCCCGGCTCGCCCGTTGCAGCCAACTCGCTCGCAGCCTCTCGGGCCCACTTGCTTAAGAGGCGCCCGGCCCGCCCAGCCCGCCCGCCCGACCCTCCCGTAAGCGGTAAGCGGCCCGCCCGCCCGACTCACCCTTCGTGGCCCGCCCGCTCGCGCGCTCTGGCACCCGCCCGCCCGCCCAGCCCGCCCGCACGTGCCCCGCCCGCCCAGCCCGCGCGGTGGGGCCCGCCCCGCCGGCCAGGGCCATTCTCGCCCGACCCGCCTGCAGCGCCCCGCCCCCCCGACCCGCCTGTCGGGACCAGCGTGCCAGACCCGCCCGTGCAGGCCCCGCCCGCCCGACCAGTCCGCGAGGGCCCGCCCGCCCGACCCGTCTGCTGTGTCCCGCCCGCCAACGTGCTTCCAGACCCGCCAGCCCGCGTCAACTCCACGCCAGCGTGGCCCGCCCGTCGGGGGCCCGCCCGTCGGGGCCCGCCCATGCAGGGGCCGCCCGTCCGTCGCGCCCGCCATGGCCCTCGCGCTCGTTTGCTCCCGCGCCCGCTCGCCTCGATGCCCCGCCCGCTGGGCCCGCCCGCTAGGTCCCGCCCGCCGGCGCAGGCGAGCGCCAGCGAAGACGACCGCGGCGAAGACGACCCCGGCGAAGACAATCTCCAGCGAAGACGATCCCAGGCGAAGACGACTTTCAGGCGAAAACGGCCTCCAGCGAAGACCACTGCGGCGAAGACGCTGGCGGTGAAGACGACGGCGGCGCAGACGACGGCCGGCGACAACGATCCCGACGAAGACGATTGGGCGAAAACGACCGCGAGCGAAGACTTACTCGTGGCGCCAGGGCGCCTCGCGCTAGCGCTCGAGAAACCGGGCCTTCGCGGCTAGCGTGCTGAGAAACTGGGCCTTCGCGGCCGCTAGTGTTCGAGAAACCGCGCTAGCGCTCGAGAAACCGGGCGCTCGAGAAAGCGGGACGACGCCAGATATCATAATTTTCCAAGTGGGTTACGCCATCATTCCGCCGACTTCCCAGAAGGAACGAGTGCTTGCGAAGGTCTTGGAAACTATTTCGTGGGTAAGGAGCTCCTTTCATGCATGTAAGGGGGTCGCGGGATGCCTGTCAGAGGCCTCTCGGAGGGCTATTGGGGGCATCTTGGGGGCATTTTGGGCCTTCTGTGGGCCTCCTGGGGGCTTCTTGGGGTTCCCTTGGAAGCCTTTCGGGGCCTCTTGTGGGCGACTCGGGGGTGTCGAAGGGGCTCTTGGGGCCATCTTGGGGAGAAAGGCTCGACGTGTCAGTTCGTATCCCCCTTCCTGGGGCCCTCTTAGGTTCCTCTTGGGGCTCTCTTGGGCCTTTTGGCGTGCCTCTGCGGCCGTCTTGGGGCCTTCTTGGGCTGTCTTGGGACCCTGGGAGGCCTCGTGAGCTTTGTTGGGGCGAACTTGGGGGCTTATTGGGCCGTCTTGGGCGCTGCCAAGAGGAAAAATGTGAGTATGCTAAAAGTGTGCGTTTCCCGAAGGGACTGGGGCAACTGTTGCCTCTTGGGGGCCTCTCGGCGGTGTTCGGTCGCATTATTTGGCTGTTTCGGAGGCGCGTGGGCCGTCTCGAAGCCAGCATGGACCGCCTTGCGGCGACCCTGCGCCGTTTTGACGTTCTCTTGGACTGTCGTTGCGCTGTGTCTGGGCCCTTCTGGGCCGCCTTGTTTTTTTGGAGGCTCCGGAGACCCTGGGTGTGCGTTGACAAGCTCGGCCCCCCTTCTCCCCCCCCATCCGGCATTGTGGACGGTCGGGGCCAGTCCACAGGATCTTCAAGAAGGAGGAGGACGAGGAGGAGGAGGAGGAGGAGGACCCCCTCCCCCTCCTGCTTATGGTGGTGGCCGTGGTGGAAAACAGGGGGGCAGCCAAATGTGTCGCACGCCTTCTCACTCCGCGCCAGCGAGGGTCGGCGGGCAACGAGCACACGGGGGCCGTTGGAACGAGCACGGGTAGAGGTTCGGTACGCGCGGCATCCAGAGTGACCGTCGGACCGAGGTGTGAGATCGAGGTCGGCTTGGGGAGGGTGCCCTGATGTTTTTCGGCGCGGCACGGTGCATGGCGTCTCCGCGCGCTTCGCTGTAGCAGCGAGGCGCGGAGGAACCTTGCGCACCATGGAGTTAGTGAGTGTGTGTGTGTGTGATGTTCTTCGTGCTTGTTGGATGTTCTTGTGCATCCTGGGGGAGCGTACCTTCGGGTGACCTAATGGTTTGGGGCGCTTTGCCAGCGGAGGGCTTCATGTTATTGAGGGATGTTCTCCTGGCCTGGGTCCCACTATTCTTGCCGAGTGCCCAGGAGCGGTCAGGCGTGCCATCCGCGCGCGGGCCGTCCCAGCGTGGTTATGGGAGTCGAGTCATTCCGCCCAGCTGGTCGCCGATAGTGATGTTGATGTTTATGATTATGACGGTCATGCTGGTGATGCCGATGATGTTGATGTTGATACTGGTGGTGATAGTGGTGGTTGTGGGGATGATGGTGATAACGATGGTGATAATGAGGATGGGGATAATGATGGTGACGATGGTGATGATGGTGGTGATGGTGATCCTAATGATGATGACGGTGATGCTGGTATTGATGATGATGACAGTGGTGATGCTGATGATGATGCTGATGGGTATGATGACAATGACGATAGCGATGCCGTTGACGCTGACGATGATGATGATGATGCTCATGATGATGATGATGATGATGATGATGATGATGATGATGATGATGATGATGATGATGGTACTGGTAATGATGATGACGATGACGATGACAATGACGATGACGACTTTGATCGTGATTATGATGATACTGATGATGATGGCGATGATGAGGATACTGATGATGACGATGACGATGACGATGGCGATGACGATGACGATGATGATGGTGGTGATGATGAGGATGGTGACAGTGATGATACTGACGATGCTGATGATGGTGGTGGTGGTGATGATGTTGAGGATGGTGATGTTGAGGACTATGTTGACGATGGCGATGGCGATATCGATGAGGACGATACTGATGATGATGATGATGATGATGATGGTGATGCTGATGATGATGATGATGATGATGATGATGATGATGATGATGATGGCGATAATGATGACGGAAATGCTGGCGATGGCTACGTCGATGATGACGCTGATGCGGATGTGATGAGGATCATGATGAGGATCATGATGAGGATCATGATGATGGTGATGATGATCGTGATGATGCTGATGATGATTAGGATGATGCCTGCGATGATGCTGATCATGTTGATGATGACGATTTATGGTGGTACAGATGACGATGACGATGACGATGTCGATGATTGGTGATGATGATAATGATGGTGACTACGGCGGCGACGATTTGATGCTGGTGACGAGCATGTTGATGATGATGGCGATGCTGATTTCGATGACGCTGATGATCATGATGCTGATACTGATGATTATGACGATGGTGCTGATGATAATGACTGTGCTGAGGATGATGATGATGATGCTGAGGATGCTGATGCTGATGATGATACTGAGGGCTCTGATGATGATGACGACGGTGGTGATGATGATGATGACGAACCTTATCATGATGATGCTGATGCTGCTGTTGCTGCTGCTGCTAATGATGATGATGCTGATGATGATGATGATGATGATGATGATGATGATGATGATGATGATGATGAGGGTGATGATGATGCTGACGGTGATGATGCTGATGATGATGATGCGTATGATGATTATGCTGTGGAGAATGGTGATGGTGATGCTGATGGTGGTGGTGATGGTGCTAATGATGATGATGGTGATGCTGCTGATGCTGCTGATGATGCTGATGGTGATGATACTGAGCATGATGACAACGGCGATAATGCTGACGATAATGATGATGCTGATGAAGCTGATGATGCTGGTGATGTTGATGATGATGAGCATGATGATGATGATGATGATGATGATGATGATGATGATGATGATGATGATGAGGATGACGATGATGACGATGATGATGGTGATGCTACTGATGATGCTGATGATGATGGTGGTGGTGGTGGTGATTATGCTGATGCTGATGATGATGGTGGTGATGGTGATGATGATGCTGATGCTGCGGATGATGACGATGATGATACTGGTGATAATGATAATAATGATGATGAAGATGAGGATGAGGATGAGGATGAGGATGATGATGATGATGATGATGATGATGATGATGATGATGATGATGATGCTGATGATGATGCTGCTGCTGAAGATGAGGAAGCGGAGGAGGAGGAGGAGGAGGAAGAGGAGGGCGATGGTGGTGGTTGTGACGGCGGTGGTGATTATGACGGGGATGGGGGGGTAGCAACAGGTGGACGCGGGAGGAGGAGGAGGAGGTGGAGGTGGACGACGAGGTGGAGGTGAAGGAGGAGGAGGATGAGGAGGAGGAGGAGAAGGAGGAGGAGGAGGAGGAGGAGGAGGAGGAGGAGGGGGAGGGGAAGGAGGAGAGGAGGAGGAGGAGGAGGAGGAGGAGGAGGAGGAGGAGGAGGGGGAGCGGGAGGAAGAGACGGAGGAAGAGGAGGAGGAGGAGGAGGACGAGGAGGAGGAGGAGGAGGAGGACGAGGAAGATGAAGAGCCCGCTCCATGGACTCTTGGCCCAGGGACGAACCAGTATGATTATCACCAGGCCAAACAGCAGTCGTGGTGGGGAAGGGTATGCCAGCGTTTGTTTGCCTTTGGTTTTGGCACGGCCTGTTCGGTCGTTCTTGGGGGGAACGGAGGAAACACTCTATATACATATATATATACATTGAGGAGGGAAGCGGGAGGAAAGGATGAGGGTGGAGGGCAGGAGGGATGAGGTTGGGGAGGGTGACAGAAGCGGGGGGGATGCAGGAGTAAAGATGGGGGGAACAGGAGGGAGGAGGGGGGAAGGGAGGAGAGGAGGGGAGGGAAGGAGGAGGGTCTTCTCGGCCAACCGAGCCCGGGTTGTGTCCGTGAGGTTTGGGCGGCCAGCCCGGTATGTTTGATTAGCCAGTGTTTAACAAGGACGCTTCTCTTGCCACGACACGAGCGAGGGAATAGACTCTCGGCGCTGCTCCCCCTGAATCTGCTCAGCGGCACTACATTGGCTATCCACGAACGGGGATTACGGCAACGCGCCGGAAGTTGACATTTCCCGGCCTCTCCTGGGCATTGCAACATTGCACTCGTCGGGAAGTGTTGGGTTCGCTGGGTCGCTTGCCAAAGGACCCGCTAAGTGGGGCGGACCAGCGACGTTCTGAGACGATCAGGGCCCCAGAAACCAGGACAATGCAGAGCATGACTCTGCCAATATCTAGCGGGAGATGCCAATGCAAAGTTAGTGTCGCGACCAGCAGCTGCAGCTTTTTCCCGACGTGCAAATGGCTGGTTTGCTTGGTCGCCTTAACTATGCCCAGGGCGTTTTTTTTGCGTGTTCAGATCGGCGTCTTGGATTTTTTGTTTAGCGTTCTCAGGTTTCAAAAAAAACCGAAATACGCTAAGCAAATGATGCGTTGTTTTAGCGTTATCATACATGTGTTTAGCGTCTTCAGTTTGGAAACGCAGCAACAACACACAAAACACGCCAACACAACGACCCTAAACACGCTAAAACACGTAGCGTTTTGTTTGTGTTGTTTTGTTTGGTTCAGCCTGTCAAGAGCCCAAACTAGAACACGCTAAGAAAACGCCCAGGGCGTTTTTTAGGCGAACCAAGCTGGTTTGTACAGGTCCCCGTTTGGAGAGCCGTGAGACGAGCAAGACGAATGTCTTTCGGAACTTTCGAACCCAAGGGCCGTGTCGAGACTCCGAGGCCAGCAGAGGACGATTTGTGTCTCCTCCTCCTCCTCCTCCTCCTCCTCCTCCTAGCCCTAAGGGGGGACCTTCAGGGCCCCTCTTGGAGCCAGCAGGGGCAAAAAAGGGGGGTCCCAAATGGCCCCTAGAGGGCGTTTTTCTTCACCCCCTGGGTCACCCCCCATTGCCACCCGCCCGATCCTCGCCCTTCGTGCTCAGCGCGCAGTTCCCGTGCGGCGCGCGGGAAAGCGAGGGGCGTTGCCGCAGTCCGTTCTTGCCCCCAGGGGCTGTCAACACTTCTGCTCGGCCCTGTTGTCTCAGCACCATGGCACTGTCGTGGTGCATCCTCCTCCTGGAGGCCCTCTTCCCTCCTCCTCCTCCTCCTCCTCCTCCTCGTCCTCCTCCTCCTGCAACACTGCCGCCAGATCGAGGGCGGATTTCATCAGCCACGAGTTTAAGCGCCAGATGGTCAGCAAGAAGACCCAGGTGCCAGCGTCTCACCAAGCCCTGCAGGTCCTGCTCAGGACTAAGATGGGGCCTCAGGCAGGCCCGAACCCTGCTCGTTCGGGATCCAACCTGGGAAAGGAAACTGGGACGGACCGCCCCCAGAGCAGATGGACGAATTTTCGGAAACTTTCGGAGCGTCTTGGAAAGATGCGTATTAGACCTAACAAGGTCCGCATGTTGAAACGTGCTGGGGATAACACTCACAAGCTGTATAAGAATGGCCTTGAAGCGGCCACTATCCTTGGAGTGGAGGTCACTGGCACCAACGGCACTCAACTTGTAGCAGCTAGGCCGCAGTGTCTGACTGCCGCGGGCCCGAGACGGACGACCCGCAGCAGCAGCTTGCCGTTGCGCATCCTCCAGGACCCCCTGTGGAAAGCTGCCCTCGGTCCCGCCCTTATGAGGCAGCGTTTAGTTTGGGATGCGTCCACCCGCCCACTCTTAGCCGTGACCAGCTGCCCGCAGCTGGGGGTTTGGACGAAAGACACCCCCCCGAGAACTCCTAAATCGTGGGGTCCCTCCTGGGGCCCTTGCTGTGGGGAGTCGCCTTCGCTTAATAGTTTTGGTTGGAAAATCCAGGGGCCGTTTTTCTTTGTGACTACCTCAGGTCTTGATGATTCACTCCCAGGACACATCCCCGCCTTCCTCCAAAAACTCATGGAGCACGTCTGGCACGGCCAGCTCGTCTCCACGGTGGCCGACAAGCTCGGCCACGCGGACGCTCAGTTAGATTTCGCTGCTGCTCGGACTGCTCTCGCGTCAGACCCCACTGGACTCCTGAAGGGCACCCTGCTCACCTACATCAACCAATGTATCAGGACCATGGAGAGAGCCAAGACAGCAGGATATGTAGAAATCAGAACGACTCACTTCTCGGCGGCGGAGCGTCTGCGTTTAATTGAGCCCCTCCCCCGGGCCCCTCATTTGCGGCTTGGGTCCCCGCTGGTTCCTGAGTTCCGTGGAGCGCCCCCTCCTGGATCTAGTCTGGCTGGGGAGTTTTGGTGGGCTCAAGTAGGTATCAACACACAAGAGGCCTTCAGCGAGGGGGAAGTGTATATAGATAGAAGCTGCACCAAACACGCGAATTATGTGCTCAATGCTGCAGGTATGGCTGTTGTTTGTAGGAGAGACGATGAAGGTTTCACATATTTCAGTGGCCGAGTAGGCCAGAGGTTTTACTCTGACTGCAAGGGAGTGCTGAGGCTGCATCAAGGCACCGAGTACCCCCGATTACACCGCTTGGCGGAAGGTAAATATGCTGAGGACCGTCTTACGAAGGCAGCAACGCACAAGGGCGTCCAGCCCAGACAAGATGATATGTGCAATTTTGATGAATTTAGGAAGTCCGTTTCTAAGTATCTCAAGTACATGGCGCAGGCTCTGGGAAAGTGGCTAGCGACCACCCCCCGCAAGAACAAAGGTCCGGCCGCCCCAGAGAAGAACCTTTCTCCCCCCTCGGGTGCTGCCTCTGCCCTGACGTCGTGGTCGCCGTCGTCGGTCGGGTCATCCCCTCCCCCTCCGTCGCCTGTGCCTCACGTAGGCCCTCGTGAGCCCAGCGAGCCTTGCGGGTCCCACTCGTGGGCGCAAATTTCGCAGTACTGTCGGTGCACTCTGTGTGGGGTACAGACGAAGTCATTCAAACAGAGTGCAGATTTTGCGGCCAAGGAATGTCCTGACCAGCACAAGCAGATGTCAGACCTCGTGCATTATAATACAGGCCAAATTTTGGTTTATTTGAGCACCTTGAGCATCCCACGAGTATTCGGGTGTGCCACAAGTGTGGATCCTACTTCGAGGGGTTGGATCGAGGGCTCACTGGAGGCTGCGGCACTCGAGTGAGCCACCAAGGCGCGGCCACTCAGCATGCCTGTGGCCAGGAGGGTCATGATCCCAAGGGCTCAAGGTCGTCCCCAATCAGATATAAGACCCCACTAGCTCTCAGGCCAGATTGGTGAGCGAAACGCCAACCAAGGTCTGATGAGAGGAGGCACCAACGCCTCCACAGTCGGCCGTGCTCTCTCACGGCGGACATCGTACACCTCATCAGCCATGTGCGTGTCCTCCTCCTCCTCCTCCTCCTCCTCCTCCTCACCTTCCTTCTCCTCTTCTTCCTCCTCCTCCTCCTCCTTTTTCGTCCTCCTCCTCCTCCTCTCGACGGGTCCTCCTCTCGCCAGGAGGGGGAGCGTGTCCTGAGGGGAAGCGGGTCCCCAGGCTTTCCGCCGTCTCTGGGCTTTCGGGGTCCTTCGGGGGCCTCGGGAACGTGGGACAACGATTGATAAGATCAGTGCTAATAAGAATAATCATATTAATAATAGTACGAATAATACTACCAAAACAAATACTACTGCTAATATTAGTAATACTATTAAGCATACGAAAAACAATGCGAAAACGAAGAAGAAACAGACGAATCATCGGAGGTGAGGGGGTGAGATCGAAGTGGAACGGAGAGCCCCTTTACCAGGAAATCGGTTTCGGTTTCGTGCTCGTGCATGCCGTGCGTGCGGGCGAGGCGAAGCTGCGTAGGCGGGCGAGAAATGTCTCGCCTCTGGCTGAGGCGCGGCCGGACCGAAAGTCCACCTCCCGGCAACTGGTGCCGCGCGGTGTCCCGCCGGTGTCCCGTCGGTGTCCCGATATGATGATGATGATGATGATGATGATGATGATGATGATGATGATGATGATGATGATGATGATGATGATGATGATGATGATGATGATGATGATGATGATGATGATGATGGTGATGGTGATGGTGATGATGATGATGATGATGATGACGATGTTGATGTTGATGATGATGATGATGATGATGATGATGATGATGATTGCCATGATGGTGATGATGTTGGTGTCCCGATGAGGATGATGTTGATGATGCTAATGTTGCTGATGATGATGCTGTCCCGATGATGATGACAATGATGTTGCTGATCCTGATGATGTTGATGATGATGAGATGATGATGAAGATGGTGATGATGATAATGGTGTCTCGATGATGATGAGTAGGTTGATGATGATGCTGTTGATGAGGATGATGATGATGATGGTGATCATGATGGCGTCCCGATGATGATGTTGATGATGATGGCCAATTTGGTGTCCCGACACTGATGATGTTGATGAGGAGGGCGATGATCAGGTGATGCTGATTTTGATGTTGGTGGCCCGATGATCATGCTGGTGTTGATGATGATGATGATGATGGTGTCCAGATGATGATGATGGTGATGATGCTAGTGTTGATGATGATGATGGTGTTCCGATGATGATGATGATGATGATGTTGCTGATGATGATGATGGTGTCCCGGTGATGACGTTGGTGATGCTGTTCATGATGGTGATGATGAGATGATGATGATGGTGATGATGGTGGTGTTCCGATGATGATGATGATGGCGTCCATATGATGAGGATGTTGATGCTGATGATGATGGTGACGATGATGGATACTCGATGATGGCGATGATCGTGATGATGATGATGGCCATGGTTGTGATGATGATGGTGTCCCTATGATGATGATGTTGATGATGCTGATGTTGCTGATGATGATGAAGGTGTCCCGATGATGCTGATGATGATGTTGATGATCCTGATATTGTTGATGATGATGGCATGATGAGATGATGGCGATGGTGAAGATGATGATGATGGTGCCCCGATGATGACGATGATGGTGGTTGATGATGGTGATTGTGATGATGATGGTGCCCCGATGACCATGTTGATGATGATGATGACGATGCTGGTGTTTGATGATGATGATGTTGATGATGAGTATGATGATGAGGTGATGATGATTTTGATGATGGTGGCCCGATGCTAATGATGCTGAGGTTGATGATGATGATGGTGTCCCGATGGTGGTGATGATGGTGATGATGATGGGAACGGTGATGTTGGTGTTCCGATGATGATGATGTTGATGATGATGTTGCTACTGATGATGATGGTGCCCCGATGATGATGATGTTGACGTTCCTGCTCATGATGATGATGCTGATGCGGTGATGATGGTGATGCTGGTGTCCAGTTGATGATGATGGTGATGACGGTGTCCCGATGGTGATGATGTTGATGATGATGTTGGTGATGATGGCGAAGATGGTTGTGTCCCGATGATGATGATGAGGATGATGATGGTGATGATGATGCTGATGTTGATGATGATGGTGGTGAGGTGATGATGATGTTGTTGTCCCGATGATGATGATGACGATGATGATGATGTTGATGACGTTGATGACGTTGATGTCGATGGTGATGATGATGACGTTGTTTGTGGGATCGTTTAGGATATCGATTGTGATATCGATAGTGATACCGAATGTGAGATATATTGTGATATCGATAGTGGGGTCGATAGTGGAATCGGTTGTGATATCGATAGTTATAGTGATTGTGGGATCGATCGAATGAAATAGATCGAGTGATATGGATTGTGAGATCGATCGAGTGAGATCGATCGAGCGGGACCGATAGTGAGATCGATCGTAAGATCGATAGTGAGACCGACCGAGTGAGACGTTGGTTCCTCCCCCCCGAACCTCCTTATCACCCGAAGGGTGGTCGTATAGGTATTAAGAATATTTATTAAATTAAGAAATAAGAAGAAGCCAGGAGGAAGTATTCGTCCTGGCGCAAGGCCCAAGGGCCCAGGACCCGTTTCCCTCAGGACCCGTGCCCCTTCTTCCCTCGACAGCACGGCGGCAGCGACGGCGACGACTGCGACGGCGACGAGCCGCCGCCGACCTGGCTCAGACACCGCCCAGACCCCCCCGCCGCGCACCGCAGCCGCAGGCGGCCCACCGCTCGCGGCAGCTCGGAACCAGATGCGGCACGCACGGATGAGGAGGAAGAGGAGGAGGATCAGGAGGAGGAGGAGGAGGAGGAGGAGGAGGAGGAGGAGGAGGAGGAGGAGGAGGAGGAGGAGGAGGAAGGTGAGGAGGAGGAGTAGGAGGAGAGGAGGAGGAGGAAGAGGAGGAGGAGGAGGAGGAGGAGGAGGAGGAGGAGGAGGAGGGAGGAGGAGGAGGAGGAGGAGGAGGAGGAGGAGGAGGAGGAGGAGGAGGAGAGGGGAGGAGGAGGAGGAGGAGGGAGGAGGAGGAGGAGGAGGAGGAGGAGGAGGGGAGGGAGGAGGAGGAGGGAGGAGGAGGGAGGAGGGAGGAGGGTAACGAGGGAGGAGGAGGGAGGAGGGAGGAGGGAGCATCGCTTTGAAGGAAAAGGGCCCCGAGGGAAGAGGGAAACACTCAGGTCCCTCCCCCTCCCCCCAAGTTCAAAGCTGGTACGCGTGGGGAAGACTGCGGTCGAAGTGCCGCTCCTCAGAGCCCACCGCCAACTCCGATGATTGGGGGATCCTCCTCCTCCCCCTCCTCCCTCCTCCTCCCTCCCGCCTGCCTCCGTCCCAGCGTGTCGGCCCGTCCATGAGTCCGCCGTGCTGCAGTCCTCAGCAAGAAACTCCCTCCTCCCTCCTCATCCCTCCTCCTCCTCCTCCTCGTCCTCCTCCTCCTCCTCGCTCCTCCTCCTCGCTCCTCCTCAGATGGGGCATTCACATATGAATCTGGCATGCTGTTCGCTAATGCATGCCCGAGGACTCTAGGGCAGCGGTCCCTCCGGTTTTCGCTCGGCACCCTCGGGCTCCGGGGCGCCTGTGGGCCCCGGGACGGTCAAAAGCACTATTCGGGAGGGCCAGCGTCATGGGGAGAAGCCCCGGGTCTGGGGGCAAGGGGCAAGTTAGGTGCCGTCGCGCTTTTACACACACACACACCTATATATATATATATATATATATATATCAAAGTATGCGCACCTATACGTATATATATATATATATAGATATACACTCACATATACGTATCTTTGGTCGGTGAAGCAGTTCAAGCAAAGCAAATGAAGACACTATAAGGTAATGCAGCGCACGGGACATTCAAAACGAGGCATAGCCAAGCGGGTTGCGGCGCCGCAGCGTGGCTGGGCAAGGCAGACGAAGACACCTGCGCCTCCCGCCCATCCCTTCTCATTGCGCTGGATCATTTTCTCTGTCCGCCAGTGGGGTGTCCTGGCGGGCGTTGATCCCCCAAACGACCCCTATCGTGCATGCGTAACCCCAAAAAACAGGAGGGCATTGCACACTGAAAGCGGACGCAGGTAGGCAGGCAACAGGATGAGCAGGAGAAAGAGGAAGATGAGGAAGGAGGAGGGAAAGGTGGAAGAGGAGAGGCAGGAGGAGATGAGTGTCAGACATGGGTTCAACGCTGCAGCGGAAACATCATCTTGAATGACCAGATACATTCCGAAGCTCTTGCGAGTCATACACGAAACCATCGCTGCAGCGGGAGCATCACTTCGAATGAGAAGCGACGCTCGTAAGCTCCATAGCGATCCTGAAAGTAGGCCACTGCTGTAGCGACAGTGCCATCTTGAACAACCACAAATGCCGTGTCAGGAACGTACACATGAAAAACAACACAGCTTGAAATCCCTTGCGCTACTAAGGGAGAGGGACGGGATCGGATGCCACACCCTCCTGCTGGAAGAAGCCAGCCAGGCGTTCGAGGTTATCTCCATGATCCCGTTCACTGCTACCACTATGGACAACGCCTCTATCGCACTCATCTGGGAGCACGCTGCTGTGCCCTGGACGACTGTCACGGATAGCGGCCGCGGTGAGAGACCACCCCCTGCGCACCCCCTACGGTGTCGAGAATATGCCATGCCTGCTGTGCCCTGGACGACCGTCACGGATATCGGCCGCGGTGAGAGACCACCCCCTGCGCACCCCCTATGGTGTCGAGAAAATGCCACGCCTGCCACGCCCTGCGACCGTGGGGCGGATAGAGACCGCTGTGAGGGACCACTCCCTGCACACGTCCTGTAGTGACGAGAAAGTGCCACACACGGATGGTGTTGTGTAGTGTGGTGTGGTGTGGTGTGGTGTGGTGTGGTGTGGTGTGGTGTGGTGTGGTGTGGTGTGGTGTGGTGTGGTGTGGTGTGGTGTGGTGTGGTGTGGTGGTGTGTGGTGTGGCGTGGTGTGGTGTGGTGCGATGTGGCTTGGTGTGGTGTGGTGTGTGTACGAGCGAGAAGGAGGAGGTGAGGTGGGAACGCAGGTGTGACGCGGGTGTAGAGAAGGGGAGGTGAGGTGAGACGCGGGTGCGCCGCGGGTGTAGAGAAAATCAGAACCCCACTTAGAATGTGGGGAAAAAACACGTGTGGAACCCGGCGAGTGCCGGGACACGAGAGCCTGGCGCCTCCGCCGTGCTCGCGCCCTGTATCGGCTGCAGGTGGGCCTGCTCTGGGGCGGACGGCCTTGGCGCTAGCCAGGGTGGTGATCGTGCTGCCGACGCTCCTGGGGCGCTTCTGCCTTGCCGCCGTTCGCGCTCTATCCTCCCTCCGCCCGCTTCGTCCCCTGGGCTGAAAACCACATGGGACAACGCCCAATTCCGCACTATTGACCAGCTGCAAGGGGACGAATCCGACTTGGTCATCATTGCCTGCGTGCGCTCCAACCCCAGACATGCGACGTCCTGATTTTTTCAGGACGGGGTCCCTGGAAGTCCCGACCTGTTCCCCGGGACGGGCTTTTCATCCCGAGTCGTTTTTTCACGGTCCCGAGGCCCGGCGAGGGCCCCCTGAGGCCGAAATTGGTCAAACACCTCCCGCCCTGATTTCTGTCAGCGACACGCTCACTTCTGGGACGGCAGCCTCAGCCCCGGGCACCTCGACTGCCCCCGCTGCTTCGACGCCGCGCTGGCTCGCGGCAGGACGGGCGGCATCGTGCTCGCGGACGCCGCAGCGGCGCCAGGCCGGCAGACGCGCGCCGCGCGGGGCCTCTGTGTCGGGTCGGCGGGCTGCGCCGGGCTGCCCACCGCTCACGAGGTGTAAGTCGGGCACGTCCTTCTGTCGGGGAACAGAAAGTGGCATAAACATAACAACTCGGAGGTCCGCGCGGATTTCTCGGATCGGCGCGGGACCCCCCTCCCTGGCGCTCGGAGCGCGCCAGGGGCGGCGCCAGAGGCGCCGCCGGGGGGCCCCAGCGCGGATCCGAGAAATCCGCGCGGACCTCCGAGTTGTTATGTCTATGCCACTTGTTGTTCCCCTATTCTACAGGAGGAGTATTCAAACAAACTACCCAAAAAGTCCGGGGGCTATTTTTTGAGTGCTTTCGAGCATCTGTCTGCCATCATTCGCGTATCTCTGTCGTCCACAGTCCGCTTGTAGGAGCTCGACCTAAGACAAGGTTCTCCTGCGTGGAGACTTTGTGGAGACTTGCGAGGAGCCGTGCTGCTGGCTTCAGAAGTCGGTTGGGGGCCCCGCCTTTTTTCCCTCTCCTCGCCTTCGTCCTCTGGTTGCGCACTCACCGCTTCGACTCCGCGCGCCCCCTTGCCGACGGCGTTGTCGGCCGCGATATGGCTTCGCAGCTCGCCCAGAACCTTCACCCCGTGCTCGGGTGCGACGTTGGCAACATCTGCCTCGCCCTCCAGCACTGCGCCCTCCTCCGCTACCGGGGCCCCTACCCCTGCGAGGGCAATCGGGCCGCTGGCGCGACTCCAGCATCGCGGGGGACGGCGCCGAGGCGCCCCTGCCGGAGGCGGGCGCTTCCGGAATGCCGCCCCCGCCCGCTCTGGCGCGCCCACCAACGACCTGGCTAAGTCCGGGACGGCGATCGAGGGGCGCCTCCTTGAGGCCATCGTCTGCCTCGCGATGTGCGCGCCCGGATCGGCTATCCTGGGCGACCCCCGCAGGCGGGGGTCCATCGGCTCCCTGGGGCTGGGGCGAGACGGGCTTTGGCGACGGCGCCTTCTGGGTCCTCAGCGGCCACTTCAAGCCGCGCTTGCGCCCGGCGACCCCAGTGTCTGCCCGGTCCTCGAGGGCGCGGGGGTGGTCTCTGCGCCCTGCAGGGCACCGGGCCGAGGGCCCACTGGCGTCTTCCACATAGGCGCCGCTAGCGCCGACGGGGCCGCCCAGGTCGTCTTCCTGGGGGGGGGGGCGAAGGCACCGGCGACAAGGGCGGAGTGCCGACCGACCTCCTGCTCCGCCCCATCCGACGGACCCCGCGGGCGCCGCCGCCGCAGCGCTGCTGCCCCGCCCGCCCGGGAAGACGCCGGCCCCGGGCAGCGCCGCGTCGGGGCCCCGCCCCGCGGGGGCGCCAGCCCTGGCAGGGGGCGCCAGCCCCGGCATGGGGGGGCCCGCCGCTTGCGGGAGTAGGCCGCTCCGGCGAGGGCTCCATTCCTGGCGGCGGTCATCCTGCCCAGGGCCCCCCCTGCCAGCCCCCGCGCGCCCCCCGCATGGCGCGCGATGGTATGCCGCCTGACTCGCAATCTCGCCTCGCTCGGCTCTTCCTGCACCAGCCCCCCCCCTTGGTTTCGGGCGCGTGCTCGAACCTTCTGCGCGTTGTCCCAGGGGGGGTCGCTGGTGCACGCTCTGAAGCACTCTGTCGTGGAATGCTGCTGGATCTCCCTCGGTTGCCCGCCCCACGGGGGCGACGGCCCCCCCGGGAGCTGGGCCCGCGACCCCAGCCAGTGGGCCCCGGAGCTCCCACCCCCGGACCGCCCGAGGCCCCCCTTGCCCCTGAGCTTCGCGGGCTGGCCCGCGCTGCCGCTGGAAAGCGCCGCCCCTCCCTCAAGAAGGGAGCCGAGCGGCGCCCTCGCCAGTCTGTCTGCGGGCTCCTCATCCGGAGCCTGTTCGGGGGCGGCCCCGCCCGGGGGGCGCCGGCGCGCGGCTCGGCGACGTGCGCGACGCTGGTCCCGCTGGTCCCAGGCTGTGGGTGCTCTGCCTGCTGCGTTTTGTCACTGGGGGGTGGCATCCTGCCGCCCCCGTCCGCCCCCTCGGTCACTCTGCGCGCCCGTGCCGAGTCCCGGGTGGGCCGCGGCGGCTCTCGGCGCTCAATGTCGCGGGGTGGTTCGCCACGCACCAAACCACCCCAACCCAACCCGAAGGCCTCGATTTGCCCTCGATTTTCAGTGGGGGCGGGTTGGGGAACGGAGAGAACACATGGAGCCTGTACCCCCCCAGCCCGAAATTCGCGTCTTCGGGTTGCGTTGGGGTGGTCTGGTAGGTAGTCAGCGACGGGGGCGGCGGCCCCGCCTCCGACGGCGATCGTCCCCGGGGCTGGGGCGGCCTGCCAGAGGCGCTGGGCCGCGCTCTCCACCGCGCTCCTCGCCCTCGAGGGCGAGGAGCGCCTCGCCCCTCGCCTCGCGGATCCGCCTCGCCCCTCGCCCCTCGTCGCCTCGCCCCCCGCCTCCCGGGGACCGCCCGAGCGCCCAGGGCGCGGCCCCTGAGCGGCGCCGCTGGCTCTCCGCCTGGCGCCGCAACCGTAAGTCGGAGCTCCCAGCGGCCTGCCCTAGGCCCGCTCCGCCGACGCCCCCGGCAGGGTCTGGCGCTCGCGGCAGTCCGTTGGGCGCAGCCAGGATATCGGCACGCTGGGCGCCGGCGCGCCGCCCTCCGCCACATCCTCGCGGCAGTCGCCGACCCCCGCTTTCAATCTGCGTCGCTCCTCCGCAGCCTCGCGCCCATGATGGCTTCCCCCGGCCGTGCGCAGACCACCAGGCATGTGGCAGCAGCACCTGGTAGCAGTACACCATGAAGCACGCCCACTGGCGCCTGGTCCTGCTTGCTGCCTGCCTGCTATGCGGCCAGGGGCCTCTCGCCATGACTGCGCTCGTTTCTGAATAGACCCCAAGCAGTGGCCTTCGCGGTGAGGCTTCGGCCCTAGACTTTAGCGTGCTGGTTGGCGTGCAAGCATTGCTTGGGGTCCTGTGTGCGGGGGCCTAGCCCCGAGGGCTCGCCCCTCTTCGCCCGCTCGGCGGCCTGTGGTCCCTTCCCCCCTCCTCCCTCTCTCTCCTTGCAGGCTGTGCGGCGAGCGGTGGGGAGGGGCCCAGCAGCGTGCACGGCCGCCGGTGCCACGCGTGCTTCCTGCTGCCGCCTGCTGGCCCGTCGGCGGGGCAGAGCCGGGGCCCCCGCCGCGAGCGGAGGCGGCGTGCGCCAGGAGGCGCTCGCAGAGGCGCTCGGGCCCCACGGCTTCGCGAGCCGTGCGCCGCTCCGGAGAGGGGTCGCTGCAGGGAGCCAGACGGGAAGCCTGCGCCCACGAGGGCCGTGCGTTCCACGGGGCCGTGCGTTCCAGGGTGAGGAAGTGATGCGCCAGCCTTTTTGGCGGACGCCCTCCCTCCCTGGTAAGGCTGACATAATCGTGCGTTGTGGTCCTTCGCCGTCCCGTCTCTCCTTCCGCATGCAGGGCGCGAAGGTATTTCGCCCCCTCTCAGTAACGAAGGCTGGGCCAGCCATGTTGGGCTTAACGATTGTCGTTGCGATCGAGTTGCACAGCCGAACGCGCGGCCAGAGAGAGACCGTTCACCTTTCGAGGACCCCCCCGCCGCGCTTGCACTTCATGCGCTGTCCTTGCGCATCCGTGCTAGCTGCTGCCTTGCTGCTGCTGCTGCTGCTGCTGCTGCTGCTGCTGCTGCTGCTGCTGCCTTTCAGATTTCAACCCGGCTGGGCTCATTTTCGGCAGTGTTCACGCGACGGTAGACGCAGCGCAGTCCGTATCGGGCTGGAAGCGCACGCTGCGCCATCACATTCTCTCATAGTGATTCTCCAAGTGTTTTGTCTATTGCATTTTCCGCGCTCTGTCTGTCCACGCACCGCCTGGTGTACGACTCGGAAGGAAGGACGGCCACCTCCCTGTCCCTCCTTGAGTGCATCCTCCTTCTCACATCCTTCCCAATAGGCTGCTGGAGACGCAGTGTGCGGTCACACGCGCCACAGGACAAGCGGGAGGGATGGGAGCTCAGAGGAGCACGGGAGCGGGGAGGGACTTGTAGCTACTGCCGCTGCAGCGCAGACCGCAGCCCGGCTGGGCTCATCTTCCGTGCCCGCTTCCGCCCCCCCCCCCCCCGCCTGGAGTGCGTCCTCCTTCTCCCACCCTGCCCAGCAAGTGGGCTGCTGGAGGCGCCGTGTGCGGTCACACGCGCCACAGGATGAAGGGGATGGATTGGAGCTCGGGGATGGTAGCGTGGGGGGGTCGGTTTCTCACAAGACCTTGCTGAATACCAGTTGCTGCCAGACAGCTGCGTGCCGCCCTCGTCTGACAGGCCGAGCGCATCATCAGAGGCGCATTCCAAAAAAGCACCCCTCTCTCCCCCCACCCTCCTCCTTCCTCCTCCTCCTCCTCCTCCTCCTCCTCCTCCTCCTCTTCCTGTTCCTCTTCATATTCCTTTTCCTCCTCCTCCTTCCTCCTCCCCTTCCCCCTCCCCCTCCCTCCTGCCTCCCTCCTCTCCTGCTTCCCTCCCTCCTCGTTTTCGCCTGAGCGAGCGACCGCGCTCGCGACTCTCCGCCCGTCTTCGCCCATACCTATCGACTGGCCCTCCCTCCTCCCTCCCCCCCTACGCTTCCTTCCTCCTTGTCTTCGCCTGGGCCCACGCCTGCAGCGCGACCGCGCTTGCGACTCTCCGCCGTCTTTCGTCCATACCAGTGACTCGCCGCGTGACATCTTTCTCCAACGGTGCGCACGGCTGCTGTGCGCACGGGGGGGCGAGTCCTGTCAGTGGTTCCTGCCCCATCGCCATACCAAGACGGGCCAGTGGGTGCGAGGCCTGCGCCTGCCAGCCTTCCCCCGGGTTGCCCGGCTGCCTGGCCTTCCTCGGGTTGCCCCGGTTGTCCGGGGGCTGCACGGTGCCGAGTTGCCCAGTTGCCCGGGTTGTCCCCGGGTGGCCCGATTGCCCGGTTGCCCGGTTGCTGAGTTGCCCGATCGCCCAGTTGCCATCAGAGCAATGATGCCAAACAATGCCGAGAAACGCAAAGCAATGCAAAGCAATACGAAGCAATGCAAAGCAATGCAAAGCAGCGCAAAGCAATGCAAACCAACGCCGGTCATTGCAAAGTAACGGCAATCAATGCCGAGCATCGCCAAGCAATACCATGTGTTTCCAAGCAACGCCAAGAAACGCCAAGCAATACATCGCAACGCCAAGCAACGCCAAGCAATGCCAAGCACTGCAAAGCAATGCCAAGCAATGCAAAGCACTGCCAAGTAATGCCAAGCATTGCCAAGCAGTGTCAAGGAACGCCAAGCAACGTCAAGCAATGCACGTAGCCAAGCAATGCCAGCAACGTCGAGCAGCGCCATGCACAGCCGATCAACGCTAAGCAATACCAAGCAACGACGAGCAACGCCGAGCAATGCCAAGTGACGCCAAGCAATGCACAGCAGTTCGATGCAAAGCAACGCAATGCAATGCCAAGCAATGCCGAGCAAAGCAAAGCAATGCGAAGCAGTGTCCCTTAGGAAGCGTTGACCTGATTGCAATCGCACCGGGCTCAGTTTTGTTTCGCCAGGCCGCATCTCGCCACAACTGCATCTCAGTCTCTGCCTCCTCGGCACGCCAGCGATTGAGCGCTGGACCGAGGCACCGCCGAAGACGCGGAGGTTTCAATGATAACCCTGCCATCTCGCCACCACTGCCATCCCTCTCGCACCGCAGCGGTCGCCCTCGCGGCCTCTGCTCATTGCCCGCTCGACGATCCCCAGCAGTGGAGCTGGTGGCGTTGATCTATGCTTCACCCTGCCTCCGTCAGAAGGCGAATGACAAATTTGGCCATGCATTCGGCCAGCTCGAGCGCTCTTTACGTGCCCCATGGCCCATTGCGCCACTAAGGACAGCCTCCGCCTGGAGCCCACTACTCCAAGCCGCAGTGAGCTGCATGAGGATCACGCGCGCGTCCATTGGGGCTTCGGCTGCGCGCGCTGCTCACGCTTGCGCCCAGACTCATAGTGGACGGCACCGGGCTTTCTCTTCGCGTCCTGCCTCTTGCAGTTGGCGTCGGGCTCCAGTTGCGTCGACAGCTGTGTAACTGCTGGGTGCCCGAGCCTGGTGCCTGCCGTAGAGTTGCTTCCGCGCACGCGTTCTTCTCAGCGTTGTAGCTTATGACGTTAGGCGGCAACGAGCCCGCAACGGGCGGCAACGTGGCGAAACCTCGTAGGACCCACCCAGCGCACCAGGCGGCAACGAGGCGGCAACGGGCTGCAACGTGGCGAAACCTCGCTGGAACCGCCCCGCGTACCAGGCGGCCATGAGGCGGCAACGGGAGGCAACGTGGCGAAACCTTGCTGGACCAGCAGCGGGCGGCTACGTGGAGGAACCTCGCAGGACCCACGCAGCGCACGAGGCAGCAGCAAGGCGGCAACAAGGCGGCAACGAGTCGGCAACGTGGCGAAGCCTTGCTGGACCCACCCAGCGCCCGAGGCGGCAACTAGGCGACAACAGCCGGCAGCGTGGAACATCCTCGCCGGACCCAGCCAATTCCTTAGGGAGACAAGTCAGAACTCCGCAGTGCAAGCACTGTTTTGGAGAAGTGTGCCTCCAGCTGCTCGCTGCTGGGTGCCTGCGCCTGCTCACACTGGTTGTGTCGCGGTTGACGTCGGGCTCCGAATGCACGCTCGGCTCACGCTTGCGCCCAGCCTCGTAGTTGATGGCGTTGGGCTCTGACGTCGCGTCCGGCCTCTCGCCGACGGCCTCGAGCTGCAGCTGGGCTCTCAGCTGCTCAGCTGCTCGCTGATTAGGGCCGGAGCCTGCTGCCATGGCGCTACCTCCTCGCGTGCGTATTTTCTAGCTTTGCAGGTGATGACGTTGGGCTTCGCCTGCACGCCCTTCACACACCTGGGCCCAGCCATGCAGCTGATGACACTGGGCTCAGACTTCTGGTCTTGCCGCTCGATGTCGGCGCCAGGCTCACGCTGTAATTACTCCGAACCTGCGGCCACGTCAGCCCAACCTTGCATCAAGTCGGGCATGACCCTCTACAGGAGACATGTTCACGATTTCTCGCGCTTTTTGGAATATATGTTCAAATACTTTTTGACTATTCAATTTTTTCTTCCAAATCCGCCTGTGGGAGGACATGACCGACCTGAACCTGCCCCCTTGAAGCCTACTCGAATAAGAAATAATGGCATAATGAACATATGATTTTGGCGCTCCGCGCGGATTTCTTTGATCCGCGCTGGGCCCCCCTGGCGCGCTCCGCGCGCCAGGCGCAGATCCAATAAATCCGCGCGGAGCGCCAACAGTTTATGTTTATGCCGTTTTTTCTTCTTCTTCTACTTATGACGTCGGGCTGCCACGTCGTCTCCCGATTTGCACTCGCATCCTCCCGCTTCCACTGCCCGAACCACGCACATTCCACCCTGGTCCCCTTTTGCAGCGGGGGTGATGGGGCGGGCCTGGCTCTGCTTAGCATCCCTCACCGCCTCCGCTGATGACAGTCGTGCCCCAGCTCGCAGCTTGCCGCTGCCAGCGCCGTGGCCGAGGACGTTTGGCCCGACGTCGACCACGAGGTTCGCGTGTGGAGTGGCCCAGTCGGTGGCGCGCACGCCGGTGCCGCTGTGCAGTGGAGGCCCGTGCCAAGAAGCACCATGCTTGCCTCCAGGGTGCTCTGGGTGTCTTGGATTCCGATGGTTTTGCTGTGGAAGGCGTGACGTTTCCACGCCAAAAATTGATGGACGTCCTGGGGTCCCAGGACTGGGTTTCTCGTGGCAGGTTTTTTGTGGTCGGGCCCCTACTGTAGCGGGTGGCGGCGCCCTCCGCCTCCTCTCCCGTGCCTGAGGGCCGAGAGGTGCTCGGCCGGGCACGGCCCCGCCCCAGGGACCCGCCAACGAGGGGCGGCTGTGCCCCACCGCTGAGGCTGATGCCGCTGGCCTTCACAGCTTCGGCTGGTGGCGTTGGGCCCGCGCTCCGCCTCCCGAGGGTTCGGTAGCAGACCATGGGAGCCCGGTATGTCCTCGTACTCCCGTTTTTGGCGTCGATTGGCGTCCATTATCGTCTGGGAGTCGATGAGATAGCGCAGATTCAGCGTCGATGATCGTCGACTTGGAGTCGATGAGCGCCGATGATCGTCGACTGGCCCCCGGCTCGCAGGAGCCGACCAGCTGGTCCGGGAGGCTCCCGAGAGCCGCCGCCGGAGCTGGGCCCACGCCCTGCCTCCCCGGGGCGCGCGAGGCTGCCCCGGCTGCCGGGGGGCGCACCTCCGCGCCCCTCCCGCTCGAAGCACCCGCGAGCGCGTGCCGCGCCGCGCCGGGTCCCGGCGATCCGGGCGGCCCCGCCAGCGCCGCTCGCGCGATCTCCGCGGCCGAGCGCCCCGGTCGCCGAACGAGGCGGGGCGCGGCGCTTGGTGGGCGGCGCCGTCCAAGGGGCCCTGCGCCAGAGTGGCCACGGGGGGGGGAGGAGGAGGAGGAGGAGGAGGAGGAGGAGAGGAGGAGGAGAGGAGGAGGAGGAGGAGGAGGAGGGAGGAGAGGAGGAGGAGGAGGGAGGAGGAGGGAGGAGGAGGAGGAGGAGGAGGAGGAGGAGGAGGAGAGGAGGAGGAGGAGGAGGAGGAGGAGGAGGAGGAGGAGGAGGAGGAGGAGGAGGAGGAGAGGAGGAGGAGGAGGGGGGGAGGACGAGGAGGAGGAGAGTGGAGGAGGAGGAAGGAGAGAGGGGGAGGACGAGGAGGAGGAGGAGGAGGACGAGGAGGAGGACGAGGGGGGAAGGAAGGACGAGGATGATCTGTGCTCTTGGACGGCCTCGGTTCCCTGGACCTCTGGGCTCCTCCTCGGGAGGGTGGGTCGGCGGTCTGCAGAGGTCTCTCGAGTCTTTGGCAGGTTCTGGAGGTTTCTGGAGGAGGCAGGAGGCAGAGGGAGCGTGGGAGGTGGTCCTTCATGCTCTCACCCACCAGAGGTGACTCATGTTAGCGATTGAGCATTCCGTCCAGCGCTCACTGCCGCGACGCGAGGGCTCCTTGCCCGCGTGTGAGCCGAAGACCTACTACGCCCGCGGCCATGGAAGGTGGGGTGTGACGGGGCACGCTTGCTTTGGTACAGGGAGAAGGTGGAGGTGGAGTGAGGAGGAGGAGGAGGAGGAGGAGGAGGAGGAGGAGGAGGAGGAGGAGGAGAAGGAGAAGGAGGAGGCGGAGGAGGAGGAGGAGGAGGAGGAGGGGGAGGGGGGGAGGAGGAGACGAGGAGGAGGAGGAGGAGGAGGAGGGAGGTGGAGGAGGAGGGGAGGCGGAGGAGGGGAGGAGGAGGAGGAGGAGGAGGGAGGAGGAGGGAGGAGGGGGGCGGAGGAGGCGGAGGAGGAGGGAGGAGGGATGAGGGAGGGCGGAGGAGGTCGGAGGAGGGGAGGAGGAGGAGGAGGCGGAGCATGAGGAGGAGGATGAGGGTGAGGATGAGGATGAGGATCAGGATGAGGAGAAGGAGGAGGATGAGGCGGAGGCGGAGGAGAAGGATGACGAGGATGACGAGGAGGAGGAGGAGGAGGAGGAGAGGAGGAGGAGGAGGTGGAGGGAGGAGGAGGGACGAGGAGGAGGGAGGAGGAGGAGGGAGGAGGGAGGGCGGAGGAGGGCGGAGGCGGGAGGGAAGGAGGAGGACCAGGGAGGAGGGAGGTGGGAGGAGGGAGGAGGGAGGGAGGAGGGAGAAGGGAGGAGGGAGGAGGGAGGAGTGAGGAGGAGGAGGGAGGAGGGAGGAGGGAGGAGGAGGAGGTAGGAGGGTGGAGGGAGGAGGGAGGAAGTGGGAGGGAGGCGGGAGGCGGGAGGAGTGAGAAGGGAGGAGGGAGGAGGGAGGAGGGAGGAGAGAGGCGGTGGCGGACGCTGACATGGACGCTTGGTCGTGTTCGTGCTGTTGACTATGGCTTTGCATATGCCCCTCGGGGCCTGGAAAGGCCCAGGGGCAACAAAAGGGGGACAGGCTATTCAGGCCACAGGATGGCTGAAAACTCCCATGGAGCGCGGCGTTTGCGCCTTCTCTCACGGGCTTCCTGTCTGTCCTGCTTGATTCTGGCCAACTGCTTAGGCGTGAGCCGAGGTGGCGGTGGGAGCGGCAGAAAGGAGGAGGACGCGGGCGCAAGCAGGCTGATCGACTCTGGGGGCGGAGCTCCGCCGAGGTCGAAGTGCCGCGCCGCCTCCTCGTCGGCCTCGAGGGAATCTTCGGGCGGAGGCGGGTCCTCGGGGGCCACCTCGGGAAATTCCACAGGGGCCACAGGAGGGCGGGGAGGGGACCCGGAGGAGGCGGAGGAGGGAGGGGGAGGCGGGTCGGGAGGAGCCCAGCGCCACATCTCAGGATCGACTTTACGTTTAGTGCCCTTGTTGCCGGCAAAATCGGGTGCCTCCCAGAACTGCTCGGATTCGGACCACGGCACAAAGAACTGTCTCACCCTCGCGTCGTCGTACAACCGTGTTGTGGGCTCAGCTTCTGGTGGTGGCTCCTGTCCGTGGTGGAAGGCATCTAGGATGTTGTCGTGCATGGCTCTGGCGATCGCCAGGCACATGGATGGTGGTACGCCTTCTTTCCACTCGTTTTGAAAGTACCGTCGTCGTTCTTGCCCAGCAGGACAGCATGGGCATTGGGGCCGTGGTTGCACTTGCCGTTGTTCGTGGCCTTAAGAAGGCCATGCATAGTAGGAAGCCGAAGAGCCAGTATCCTAGTCGCGGCCTTGCCGTGTAAGCTGGGATCCTCCGTACGGTGCGTGCACTGATCAAAGTGAATAGTGCTGACAAGAGGACAGCTTCCGAAGGCTCGGAGAGGCATCCAGGAAAAGCTCGATGGCACCGCAGGGCGCCAGGGAGCTGGCGGGGGATGCTCGATCCAGAACCCGTACCCCCCCAACCCGAAATTTGGGTCTTCGGATTGGGTTGGGTTGGCTACGCAGTCTGGTAGTCAGAGGAGGTGGAGGAGGAGGAGGAGGAGGAGGAGGAGGAGGAGGAGGAGGAGGAGGAGGAGGAGGAGGAGGGAGGTGGAGGAGGGGGAGGGGGGGGGGGGGAGGAGGAGGAGGCGGAGGCGGAGGAGGAGGAGGAGGAGGAGGTGGTGGAGGAGTAGGAGGAGGAGGAGGAGGAGGAGGAGGAGGAGGAGGAGGAGGAGGAGGAGGTGAGGGTGGAGGAGACGGAGGAGGAGGAGCGGTAGGGCGAGGAGCAGGAGCAGAAGGGTGGGCGCCCGTCGATGCAGGGGGCGGGAGGGGGGGGGAGGGGCTCGGCGAACGGATTCGCATGATCTCCTGGTCATTCCTGCGAAGTCCTTCGAGCCCCAAAGACTTACGAAAGGTTCGCTGCAACTCCTGCGAATCATTGGGAGTAGTTAGGGTTACCCAGATTTCTTTTGGTTTCTTGCGAATTAGTCGGGTTTCTATGATTTGTTGGGGAGTCTGGAGAGTTCTCATTCGTTTACTGAGGGGATCTTAAGGATCGCTTGGGGTTCCTAAAGATCCCTTAGCATTCCGAAGGGTTTTGATGGTGGACCGAATGGGCTCGGCGTACAGATTCGCACGAGGTCTTGAGCATTTTTAGTCTGCGTTGCATCTTGCGTGTTTGGACAAGAGCTTCTGCCATATCAGTTGGCGTGGTCACGTGCTTTTTCTGGAAAACACCGACGTTGGTACGGGGGGAGGAGGAGGAGGAGGTGTTGGAGGGAGAGTCTTTGTTGATGGTGATGATGCCGATGATGATCCTGCTAGTGCTGCTGCTGGTGATGATGATGATGATGATGAAGCTGCTGATACTGATGATGATGGTGGTGCTGCTGTTGATGATGATGATGATTATGATGATGGTGGTGATGATGCTGCGGATGATGATGCTGATGCTGCTGCTGATGATGCCGACGATGATGATGATTATGCTGCTGATGATGATAATGATGATGATGTCGACGACGACGACGTCGACGACGATGATTACGATACTGCTGATGATAAGGCTGCTGCTGATGATGCTGGTGGTGATGATGATGCTGATGATGATGATGATGCCTAGGGTGATGATCGTGCCGCTGCTGATGCTCATCATGACGATGCTGATGCTGATGATGCTGATGCTGATGTCGATGATGATGCTGATGATGATGCTGATGCTGACGATGACGATCATGTCGACGACGATGATGAAGATGATGATGATGATGATGATGATGATGATGATGATGATGATGATGATGATGATAATAAAGATGATGACGATGATGGTGGTGGTTGAGATGGTGGTAGTGATGACGACGATGATGACGATGAAGATGAAGATGATGATGATGATGATGACGATGATGATGATGCTGATGATGATGATGATGATGATGATGCTGATGATGCTGATGCTGATGCTGATGATGATGATGATGATGATGATGATGATGATGATGATGATGATACAGATGATGATGGTGATGATGATGATACTGATGATGTTGACGATGATGCTGATGCTGATGATGATGATGATGATGATGCTGATGCTGATGCTGATGCTGATGCCGATGCTGTTGCTGCTGCTGCTGATGATGATGATGATGCTGATGATGATGATGATGATGATGATGATGATGATGATGATGATGATGATGATTATGATGATGATGATGATGATGATGATGATGATGATGATGATGATGATGATGATGATGATGATGATGATGATGATGATGATGATGATGATGATGATGAAGATGATCATACTCATGCTGCTGATGATGATGCTAATGATGCTAATGATGATGTGCATGCTTACGATGACGATGCTGTGGTGCTGCCGGTGCTCTCTTGGGGCTCTCTTGGGAGCCCTGGAGCGCCTCTTGGGGCCATCTTCGAGGCTATCGATCAAAGGAGGGAGGGTCCCCGATCGGCGCCCCCCCCTCGGGAACCACGATCCTCGTGAGGAGTGTCAAACATTTGCCCTCCCAGGGGTCGATCTTGGACGCTCCAACGAATCGCGGCCCCTCCCGTCCAGGTCCAGGGGAGGGGGTAGGGGGAGGGGTCCAGACACCCTCCAGATAGCAAGCCGTCTAGCTCACTCCCACCCGCCCTCCCAACACTTAAGTAACGCCCGAGCCTCAGCATGTTCCGCGGTCGTCTTTTGATGGGCAGCTACTGGGAACCAAAACCGAGCCCATGTGCGCGACGCTGGGGCGAGGTGCGCCATGCGTGCCAGGCGCGCCACGTGCGCCAGGCACCCCTGGGGTCCGAGCGTGCCAGGCACGCCTAGTGCGCCAGATGCTCCCTCCAGCCGCGCCAGGTGCGCCACGTCCGGGGCACGTGCAGAGTGTGTCAGGTGCGCTTGCGCACATGACAGCGCACATCGGGAAACATGTCGGCCCCCACCATCCCTGTCGAAAACCAATGCCCATCATTGTGTCTGATGGGCATGCGCACAGCAGGCCATACACCACCACCCCCGCCGTCCCTGACACTACCGTACCGAGGAACCCCACATACTCATATTATGTCTGGGATGATGATAGTTGGAGTGGAATATGCGAGAATGATGCTGGTGGCCGGTCAAGAGGAGAGGAGGTCACCGAGGGTTCTTTTTTCCGGGGCGGCAGCAGGCACTTCGGTCACGCAGGACACGAAACGATATCTTCGTCGAAAAGCATCCGACAGCGCCCAAGTCGCAAACATTAGAACATCCGGACGGCTTTCCCGCCCTGGCACGGGCGCTTGCCACGCTCTCAGACCCTGGCACGCATGTAGGGGCCGCGGTGAGGGACCACCCCGTGCGCACCCTCTACGGTGTCGAGAAGGTGCCACGCCTGCCACGCTCTCAGACCCTGGCAAGCATAGGGGCCGCGGTGAGGGACCACCCCGTGCGCACCCCCTATGCTGTCGAGAAAGTGCCACGCCTGCCACGCTCTCAGACCCTGGCACGCATAGGGACCGCGGTGAGGGACCGCCCCCTGCGCACCCCCTATGGTGTCGAGAAAGTGCCACGCCTGCCACGATTTCAGACCCTGGCACACGTAGGGGCCGCCCTCAGGGACCACCCCCTGCGCACCCCCTATGGTGTCGAGAATATGCCACGCCTGCTATGCCCTGTACGACCGTCACACATAGCGGCCGCCCTCAGGGACCACCCCCTGCGCACCTCCTGCCGGCGCGCATGTGTTGCGTGGTGTGCGTGTCATGTGTTTGTGTGTTTGCGTGTTTGTTTGTGTGTGTGTGAGTGTGTGTGTGTGTGTGCTGTGCTGTGCTGTGCTGTGAAGTGCAGTGCTGAACTGTGCTGTGCTGAGCTGAGCTGTGCGGTGCAGTGCTGAGCTGGTCTGTGCTATGCTGTGCTGTGCTGTGCAGTGCCGTGCTGTGCTGAGCTGTGCTGTGCTGAGGTGCTGTGCAGTGCTGAGATGAGCTGAGCTGAGCTGTGCTGTGTTGTGCTGTGCTTTGCTGAGCTGAGCTGAGCTGAGCTGAGCTGTGCTGAGCAGTGCTGTGCTGTGCTGTGCTGTGTACGTGCTGTGTGTCAATGTGCTGTGTGCTGAGCTGTGCTGAGCAGTGCTTTGCTGTGCTCTGCTGTGCTGCGCTATGCTGTGCTGCGCTGTGCTGTGTGAGAAGGAGAAGGAGGAGGAGGGGTGAGGAGGAGACGCGGGTGCGACGCGGGAAGGAAGATAACCAGAACCCCACTAAGCATGTGGGAACAACCAATTGACAATGATCGCGGGGTGGCCGCGCACAATCGACGCCTAAAAGGAGGAGGAGGATGAGGAGGAGGAGGAGGAGGAGGAGCAAGAGGAGGAGGAGGAGGAAGAGGGAGAGGAGGAGGAGGAGGATGAGGAGGAGGAGGAGGAGGAAGCGGAGGAGGAGGAGGAGGAAGAGGACGGGGAGGAGGCGGAGGAGGAGGAGGAGGAGGAGGAGGAGGAGGAGGAGGAGGAGGGGACGAAGGGGAATAGGATATGGGCAATGTGAAGACGAGGAGGAAATCGATTGGTGGGTTGTTTTCTTGGGGCCTCCTTGGTGCTTCCTGTGAGCCTCGTGTGGGCCTCTTGTGGCCGTGTCGGAGGCCTCCTGGGACCTCTCGTGGATTTTGGTGGTGCCTCATGGGCCGTCATAGGGAGCTTTTGGCTCGTCTAGCGCTTTCGAAGACCGTCTTGGGGGCGTGCATGCGCCGCCCTTGGTGCCGTCTTGGAATGCTTTAGGGCCGCTTCTGGGCCCTCTTGGGAGCCTCTTGGGTGATCTTGGATTCCTATTGGGCCGTCTTGGGACTTTCTTGAAGGGCCCTCGGACTATCTTGGAGTATGCCTTTGTCGACGTCGCCATGATACCCCGCCCGCCCGGGTCACCGACTCGCACTGAAGTGCCCGCGCGTCATCGCTGCCTGCGAAACGCGTTTGGGAGTCCCCTTCGGTCAGCGACATTTCGGTCGCGTCGGTCGCGCCTGACTAGCTGGCCGCTCTGCGCGCGAGCCTGCGCGCGCTAGCGCGGCCGCAGCGATGCGCCAACCAGCACCAAACAGCCATCGCAATTCCCCTCCGCATGGGTTTTGCGAACCGCATTGCGGGTGGGTGGGTGGGGTGCTTGCGCAAGCCCTGGACTTAAAACAATTTGCTGCGAACGAGAATTCGTTGCACCACGTAGACAGCACCACACATTTTGCCCCACCCAGATTGCCTATCATATGCTGCGCCACATAGGTTGCACAACCATAGGTTGCACACAGACATATATATATATATATATATGTATATATATATATATATATATAAATATTATCCGTAAGGGCTTCGCCCCCTGCCGCCGGCCCCCTCTCTCGGAGAATGGGCCATGGAAGAGCTAAGTCATGAGGCGTTGGCGCTGTCGTGCAGCAGTATCGGAACTTCATGCGAGGCCGATTCGCAATCGGCAAAACCAACTGATCACAAGAGGGGTTACCACACAGGGCGATTGGTAAGACGTGTATGGTTTACGAGCTTGGTTACCACACCTTGGGATTAAAGGGCCGAGGGAGTACTCGCAGTTTGGGTTACCACGCCTTGCGATGGATGTGCGTGAGGGGTGGCACCGAATTTCAGAAATGTGGCAAATCCCCTGTGTTTTTGGACCCTGACCCCGCGGATCTGCGTGAGGGGTGGCACCGAATTTCAGAAATGTGGCAAATCCCCTGTGTTTTTGGACCCTGACCCCGCGGATCTGCGTGAGGGGTGGCACCGAATTTCAGAAATGTGGCAAATCCCATGTGTTTTTGGACCCTGACCCCGCGGATCTGCGTGAGGGGTGGCACCGAATTTCAGAAATGTGGCAAATCCCTGTGTTTTTGGACCCTGACCCCGCGGATCTGCGTGAGGGGTGGCACCGAATTTCAGAAATGTGGCAAATCCCCTGTGTTTTTGGACCCTGACCCCGCGGATCTGCGTGAGGGGTGGCACCGAATTTCAGAAATGTGGCAAATCCACTGTGTTTTTGGACCCTGACCCCGCGGATCTGCGTGAGGGGTGGCACCGAATTTCAGAAATGTGGCAAATCCCATGTGTTTTTGGACCCTGACCCCGCGGATCTGCGTGAGGGGTGGCACCGAATTTCAGAAATGTGGCAAATCCCATGTGTTTTTGGACCCTGACCCCGCGGATCTGCGTGAGGGGTGGCACCGAATTTCAGAAATGTGGCAAATCCCATGTGTTTTTGGACCCTGACCCCGCGGATCTGCGTGAGGGGTGTCGATTTCGAGCCCCCCCAGCAATTCAGACAACGCGCCCAGGGGGTGCTAAAAATCCCGTTTGGGCCTCCCCCCCCCTCGCGCGGTCAATCAACTAGTTACAGTAACCAGCAAGAAGCAGAACTGTAACACTGGAAACTACAAGCTACAACTGGTACTGGAAACTGCGAACCCGTGCCTCGCAGCCTGGTGGCCCCACAAGGGGGCCGGCGGATATGTTGTTCGGCGCAAGGCAAATGTTGCTAACAATGCATTTCAGGGGGCCCGCGCTGAGCATGATTAGTTTAAGGCGAATGCAGGCGACGCTATGGGATAACCACATTTTGATACAAGGACTCGCCTTAATCTATGGTACACGTGTAAGATGATCGAAGACGAGTGTGCGCGGCGTTGGTGCGAACACCACATTGTGATAACCATCCGCCCTCCATCCGTGAAGCTGTTCCAAATATCGAGCGCCAGGATCATAAATGGTGAAGGAGTCCCAAGCTCAACGCCCGGCCCGCCATACCGACACGTGTGGGAGAAGGGTGAGGAAGAGGAGGAGGAGGAGGAAGAGGAGGAGAAGGAGGAGAAGGAGGAGGAGGGGGAGGAGGAGTAGGAGGAGGAGAGGGGGAGGAGGAGGAGGAGGAGGAGGAGGAGGAGGAGGAGGAGGAGGAGGAGGATGAGGAAGAGGAGGAGGAGGAGGAGGAGGAGGAGGAGGAGGAGGAGGAGAGGAGGAGGAGGAGGAGGAGAGGAGGATAAGGAGGAGGAGGAGAAGGAGGGGCAGGAGGAGGAGAGACAGTTTTTTGATCCGCGGGTCGAGAGCGAGCCTCTTCCAGGCGAAGCTAAGTGGGCCGCGCACAGCTTTAATTAACAGAAGAGACAGTTTTTTGATCCGCGGGTCGAGAGCGAGCCTCCTCCAGGCGAAGCTAAGCGGGCCGCGCACAGCTTTAACTAACAGGGGAAGGGAAAAAGAAGGCGGGGCCTCACGTCAAGGCCAAGTGCCGAAACCGAAGTGCATGCAAAGGAACGCTTTGGACAGGAACCCGGAGGCGAAGTACCGGGAGGCGAAAAGCTGGTGGTGGTGCCGTCAGCGGCGCATCAGGAGGAGGAGGGACAGGAGCAGGAGGACGACGAGCAGCGGCAGGTGGAAAGGGGTGGATGAGAATAGGCGGCGCGGCGAGGTCTCATGAAGGTGTATTTCTCCGCTGCGACCAAGGAGCTCATGCCGACGGAGAGCGCGCCTTGCTTTAAGCGCTGCGACCCACGAGCTTACTGATCATTCGGGGGCGCGTTCGCTCACATCAGCCCCGCGTCATGTGTGTCGATGTCTTTTGCGAGCTTTTTCGCCCCCCACGAACCTCACATCATGTCAAGCAGTACTGCAGGCAAGACGATTCAACAATGGCCGCTTCAGATTACCGTGCCTGCGTGCCGCTATCACTCTTCTCATTTCACCCATTCCGCACACATTCGTGCTCCGCCTCCTGCTGCACATCCTTCCTCCCTTTTTCACTATCCTTCTGCCTGTCTTGTTTTTCTTCCCCTCCCTCCGCTTCCCATTCGCCCGCCTTCACGATCTCCACTGCCACCTCCACTGCTCCTGCCAAGTTTCCTGCTCCTCCCCTCCCACCTCCCCCTTCTCCTCCTCGTTTCCCTCCCTCCTCCTCATGCCTCCTCCCTTTTTCCCTCCCCCTCCCTCCCTCCTTTCCTTCATATTCATTCCCCGCCCTCCTCCCCCATCTCCTTCCCTCCCCCCTGCCGCTCCTGCTGTGTCTGCGTCGGCGGGTTGCACCATATCGGGGGGCTTCTGTGCCTGGCCTGGTGTGCACTCGCGTCGTTGGGCGCAATTCGGCCTGCTGGCAGCATCACAAGGTTCCAAACGTGTTTCCTCTCCGCCCTCCCCTTTGGGGGGGAGGAAAGACAGAGGATGATGGAAACTTCTGCCTCTTTTTTCCACTCGATTATTCTTACTGTGTTCTCCTTCTTCCTGGCTCCTCCTCCCTCCGCCCTTCTCCATGATTTTTCGATGGCCTTACGGCTAGTGCCGCCGACCTTGAATGTCGACGACGACGAAGCCGACGACCACGACGACCACGACGATGACGACGACGAAGACGACGACGACCACGACGACGACGACGACCACGACGACGACGATGAAGACGCCGACGACGCCTTCTCCATCATGATCTCTTCCCGCGTCTTCGCCCAGGTGACCGCGGAGGACGTCGCGGCGGCGGTGCCGGTGCCAGCCGATCAGGCCCTGGCCTTCTTCGGCGCTCTCGCGAGCGCGGAGGTTGGCTCAGGGGCAGCGTTAGCCCAGGGGGGGATATATCAGAGGAGGAATCGGAGGTTGAGAACCCTCCTACCCTGACACGTCGATGAATGAATTGGCCGTTTTCGGTTCGCGAGAGGGCGTCACGGCCGTTATTTTTGCGGGTCCAGGTCCGTCGGTTTCGGTCCCAGGCCGTTTTCACTAAGGGGAGGTTTGCTAAAGGGAGGTTTGTCCACCGCCGAAGGAAAAAGTACCCATACCTCTACCCTTCGGCCGTTTCCCCTTTTTGGGCCTCCTCGGAGGTCCTTGTCGCCACCGCTGGGTTCGCCTCGGAATTCTGGTCAGGACGCACCCTTGGCTGTATCGGTACCTTTTGGTCTCCCCTTCAGGGGCAACGTTAGCCCAGGGGTAGGGGGATCGGATAGACTCAAAGAGAGCGTGTTTGTTCATTCCCGGGCGATATAGCGGGCGTTGCTGGGAGGGGGGAGGGAGCGAGAAGGCTGGTAAAACGTCATGGTTCGCGCTGGCGCCGTCTGGGAAATTGGTTACCCGTAGCAAGTCACAAAAGGCGCTGGCGCGAATCGTGGCGTTACGAGGTGGGGTTGGGGATGGGGGAAGCATCCCCAGTGAGGGCCGGTATCGCAAATCGTACACACGCGCTCAGATGGGGGACGCATCGACCCCCAATCGCCATTCATTGCCGCCAGGGGCCCGACAGTTCAAACCGCCAAGCAACATGCGGTTTTGTGACTGGGTGCCTGTTGTCGATTTATCGGCGATGCATCGCCGATCCCAGGCCTATGCTTCCCTCCCTGATCTGGCCTCCCCCCGCCGTTCACCCTCACTGGTAGGAGGGTAGTCACAACTTTGTGGCGGGGGGTTCTTTGGTTTCGGAGGTGGCTCGATGCACCTTGCGTCCTCTCACTCGCTTTCCTCCTTGGCTCTCTCCGTGCATCTGCGGGGGCTCGTGACCTGTCGCCGCGACGGCTGCGCCGGCGCGGGCGTTGAAGGCTGAACACCGCCAGCTGCCCTGGATCGGCCGACATCGAACGTTCTGCGCTATCGGAACGCCGCGGTGTTGCAAGGTTGAGCAATCAGTGCGGGTCAGAGACCAGGGCACGAGTCGTCACGATGCGAACCTGACGTGCTTTGCTTTCTGAGGTGGTCCGATGCTCCATGAGCATCTACGTTTCGCGGTCCGCGCGGATCTTTTGGATCGGCGCTGGCTGCGCCAGGCGCCGGCGAGGGGGGGGGTCCAGCGCCAATCTAAGAAATCAGCGCGGCCACCCGGAAGCGTATGCTTATGCTGATGTGTTTTTCCCCACATCCTGAGTGGGATTCTTGTTTTCGTTGGACATCCCGCGCAGGAGCCAGAAGGACCCCCCGCGCAGGAACCAGCAGAGCGCACGCACCATCACTATCACCACCACCAGCACCACTATCATCATCATCATCACCAGCAGCATCATCAACATCACCACCAACATTACCATCATCATCATCATCATCATCATCATCATCATCATCATCATCATCATCATCATCATCATCATCATCATCATCATCATCAGCATCAGCATCAGCATCAGCATCAGCATCAGCATCAGCATCATCATCAGCATCATCATTACCATCACCATCATCGTCGTCGTCGACGTCGTCATCATTATCATCATCGTCACCATCTTTGCCGTCATCGTCTTTATCCTCGTCGTAGTTGTCGCCATCATCATCAGCATCATCATCAACATCATCATCAGCACCATCATCATCATTGGGCCATAAGCATCCTCATCATCGCTCTCGTCACGTCATCATCCGTGTCACAATCATGATTACCAACACCATCATACACTCACGCACTCACACACTCACAGCGTGATGATCATTACCAGCCCCATTACCACCATCACAGTGATCTCATGCAAGGGCCTCATCCGTGAGTGAATCGTGAGAACGTCTCGAGCGGGAGCCCCCTTCCGTATGCAGGCCGCACCTCATGCGTGTAATCCCAGGCGGTCGTCGGCTATGCTGTGACAACACCCGTTTCTCACGCCCGGCAGCCCGGCCCTCGAGGAAGTCTCGAGCGGGAGCCCCTCTCCCTATGGGGCCCGCGCTTCATGTCAGTCATCCGAGGCGGCTATCAGAAGGCCTCTGCTTCAGCACAAGGGATCTCGCACCTGGCAGCCTGAACCTCGAGGAGGTCTCGAGAGGGAGCCCCCTTTCCCCATGGGGCCCACGCTGCACGCTACCAATCCGAGGCGAGGAAGACACGAGCGAGCGGGAGCCTCGTCTGTGAGGTGCATCGCGAGGACGTCTCGAGCGGGTGCCCCCTTCCGTATGCGGCCCGCACTTCATGTTTGTAACCCCAGTCGGCCATCGGCAAATGTGTGAAAACAGATGGTTCCTCACGCCTGACAGCCTGGATCTCGAGGACATCTCGAGCGGGAGCCCCCTATCCCGTGGGGCCCGCGCTTCATGTTAGCAATCCGAGACGCGGAAGTCTCGAGCGGGAGCTTCGTTTGTGAAGTGCATCGTGAGGAAGTCTCGAGCGGAAGCCCCCTCCCCCATGGGGCCCGCATTTCATGTCACCAATCCGAGGCGGCAGTCGGCAAACTTGTACTTGTCGTCACTGCTGGGCTTCCGAGGCCTGAAGCTTGAGGAAGTCTCGAGCGGGAGCTTCGCCTTTGAGTGGATCGTGAGGAAGTCTCGAGCGGGGACACCCTCCCTGTGGGGCCAGTACTTCCTGTTATTGTCGTCACTTTTGGGGTCTTGAGGCCTGACTACGTGTTAAGGAAGTTTCGAGCGGGAGGAGACAGGAAACGGTAGGAGCAGGAGGAGGAGGAGGAGGAGGAGGAGGAGGAGGAGGAGGAGGAGGACGACGCGGAGGAGGGGGGCAGGAGGATTGGGGGGGGGGAGACGAACGGGGAGGACAGAGGAGGAGGAGGAGGAGGAGGAGGAAGAGGAGGAGGAGGAGGAGGAAGACCAGGGCAAACCCAAGAGTCACCGACGATGTTGGTATAAACCCTCCCCCCCAAAGCTCCCTCTTCATAGGCCCCTACATTTCATTTCCATAGAGGGACCTGCCTCGTTGGAAGACAACCGTTTGAAGTTTAATTCCGCGAGCCATTGTAACTGTTGCACCCTTCTAATCGCGAATCCTTCCCGAACGCCATGTCTGGTACATCGGTCATGAGAATCTGTGAAGCACTTACAATGCTCAGAACCAGTGTGGTCGGCGCTAAGGCGAGAGTCACATTTGGAAAAGGAACCACCCTGAATCCGTGAAGCTCTGGCAATTGTTTGAAACGAATGTGCGCGGCGCTAAGGCGAGAGCCACATTAAAAAAACGGCCCGCCCTCAATCCGTGAAACCCTTCAAAACGTTTAAAGCGAATGTCCGCGACGCTAAGGCGAGAGCCACATTTTGAAAACGACCCGCCCTCAATCCGCGAAGCTCTTCCAAAGTTTTACAGCGAATGTGCGCGGCGCTAAGGCGAGAGCCACATTTTGAAAACCACCGGCCCTCCATCTGTGAAACCGTTGTCAATCTGCATGCTTCAGGGTCATAAATGGTGAGGAAGTCTCAGGCGAAACGCCCGGACCGCCCTAAACACTTCCCCTGGGGTGCGACAGGGAGGAGTTATGTATAAGGAAAACGAATGAAGGAGGAGGAGGAGGAGGAGGAGGAGGAGGAGGAGGAGGAGGAGGAGGACGAGGACGAGGAGGAGGAGGAGGAGGAGGAGGACGAGGAGGGGAAGAAGCAGGAGAAGTGGGAGAGGAAGGAGGCGAACGAGGAGAACCAGGATCACGAAAACGACCTCGAGGTCGAGGAGCATCAGCGGCGACGTGCTTCTGCCAGTGGGGGCCGCGACGGCGCCAAGAGAGCACACAAGACTCGCGCGCCCGAGGACGGTGGGGGCAGCGACGGCGCCTGGGGGAGGAACGGCAGGAGGAGGAGGAGGAGGAGGAGGAACAGCAGATGTTCAGGGGATTTGCGGCTTCAGGTGATGCCGTTTCTCAGCGCTCACTTGCCCAACTGGGCATCGATTCCCCCTGCCACTGCCATCACTTTCTACAACTTGCATGCCGCCTCTAAGTTTTCCTTTATTGCACATCTGTCTCCCGCCCCGTA